ACATTTTTAACCTCTTTTCAGATGTGTTTAATGAATTAATCCTATTTGCAGAACTCTAAAAACGAAAGTACATCTAATCCTGTCTTTATCGATGCAAGGCCATGTACTGTGTTAGTATGGCCTTATCTGGTGATACCTGTACATGACAACACATCTGATTTGACTTTAGGTTTCACACCATCATTATGTGACCTTGGAGCAAAAATACACTTTTTAAATATGAAGTCATAACTGCCATAATTTTAAAAATATTTTTTTACCTCGATCAAATATATGACAATTTTTCATGTCACAATGAAATTTAATTAGAGAATTTAACATATACCAGTATGTCAAAATGTGATAAATTTATTGAATTTAATTCTATTTAATTATTTTGCATGATGCAACACTTCAGATATACTCAGAAAAAAAATGTTTTGGTAAAATTGATACTTGTGCATTGTTATCAATTTTGCTTTTGTTTTTATTTTCATATTATTTGGTTTGTTTTTTCGAAAATACTGACAAAAACATTGAAGAGAAAGCTGACATTTGAATTGATACAAATTGATTTATTTCTTGGCCTCAAGTTTTGGTAATCAGACTATTTTCTTTGGATAAATATTTTTTTTACAATAACACTCCCAAATTTTCCTAATTGTTTGAACTCTCTTTAGCAACACTGCAATTATGTATAAAGAAAAAAATGACCCCCCCCCCCCACTTATAAAATTGGTCTTTCCTTGGAATAATTAGAATATTATAAATCACAATATCATTGATTACTTTTTATTTCTTTAATTTTACTGTTTTTAGCAACCAGACATGCCCACTTTGCTCGAGATCAAATTTCATAAATAGTTTGACAAATTTTTCAATTATTCCACCAAATAAAATACTGTAAAATACTTTATTTTAGTTAGAATTATTTTTCGCTGAAAAGACTTTTTGGGTGTTTTGTGTGGAATTTATTTTCACTGATTTCTGACGAGTTGAATGTAAAATATAGGAAAAAAGGTTTATTCGCTGGATTTTATTTTCACTGAATCATTCCTTCAGCAAAAATAGCAAAAATTAATTCCAAGCGAAAATAAAGTATTTTACAGTATCACTCGGGATATAAATGATATAAAAATTGCTACAGGTACTCAAAAAGACCAGTCATTTGGACAGCAGGTTATGACAGGTAGGATTTCTTTTCTTTTTTTATTCTGGCTGTCTAGATTTTTGATGTACTGGTTTTCTTTTCAAGATGCTGAAATATACCACCTAATAATAGATGACTTAATTTGATTTCCAAAACAGACTTTATTTATTTCACACACCTGGGTGTTGCTTGCATGGGATAATCAAGGCCCAGAACCATCAGTCAAAAATTAACACATAGGATATTTTCAATGCAATTTTGTTTTGTTTTTCGATTAGAAAAATAAATAATTTGTTTCAGGCCAATTTGTTTTCTAAAACCAATGTACCCATGTTTAATTGTTAATATTAAGTTATCATCAAAACTGTGCGTTTTTCCCAAGAAATTCTGGCAAGAACGTTGTTTAACAACAGTAACCAACACAATTTTTAACAGATTAGTGCAACGACTGCTTGCCTGCCTATTTCTGTTTGTGTCTGAGCAGGTAACTGGTAAGTTTAGTAATACCGTAACATTTTTGTAAAAGCAACACATCTAAAAATTTACAATGCTGCATCTATGATCCCTCACTCTTCAGTTTTATTTCAAATAAATCACACATTTTAATGCTGGTAGCACAACACTGATGGATTGTTTTATATTTCTATCTAATACTGACATATTCATTCATATTTCAGGAATGGTAAACACTGTAAGTCTCAGCTTGCTGAGTGGCCAATCCATCATTTAACAGTCAGGAGTTTTAATGATCTGTGGATAAATGATGTCATAGCCGGTCAAAAATACAATACACAACAGTTAACCTTTGGTTGTTGAAGGTTTACATGAAACGGAAACAAAATTTACATAATTTAATATAAATATATGTAAACAAAACAAATTATTTTACCACTTTAATTGTTTTCATTATTTTATATATTAATTATTAAATATTTGCTTATTTCTCTAATTTATTTACCCATATTCATTAAATAAATTCTTTTATCATATTCTGTTTATCTATTTACTCATTATTTTATTTATTCACTCGCAATTTATTTTTGCTCCCATATGATTGATTATTCATATTTCCTCCTTTATTTATTTATTTACTTATTTATTTTTCTATGTATCTTTTATTAGTCTTTCCACTAATTTATTTATTTAATCTTTTATTTACTTACATCTTTATCGATTATTAGATCAATTAAATTTATTCATTGTTTAGTCTCTAATTTATTTATATATTCATTATTTAGTCTTATTATTATTATTATTCATGGTATTTTTTTTATTTTAGCATTACATTAATTTATTTTCTGTATGTATTCACTCTGATTTACCCATTTATTTATTAGTATTTTTTTTTAATATTCTCATTTTATTTCTGTATGTATGCAATTCATTTTTATTTACCAAGTATTATTTTATTCATTTTTGAATTCATTCACAATAGTTTTCAATTTACATTTGATGTATAAAAGCATACTTCTAATGATTTAAGCACATGTATTCATTCTCCATCTCATGTAGTTATGGCAATATCATTTCCAAAATATACAATAGGCTGAGACTAATATGACATGATAGCTATCTGTCTACATATGCATCTTTTGTATATACGCTGGTACTGTCAGCGCAGATCATTAAAATCCCCCTGTGGAATATTTCATCAAAGTACACACTTAATTTTTGTTCGCTGTTGTCCCGGAGCATTTATATGTTGCTATGGCAATTAATGAAAGCTATCACTTTCTCTAAATTAAATAGGCATGTCTGAATCATAGCTTGACTCACTATTTTATAGTTTCAAGTGTTAATTTATTTTACAAAGGTGAGTTTAATAATTTTTATTTTACTTTTATGTTTCAGATTCAAATGAAAATTATAGTACAGGGGTATTAGTGTCTTGGCAGCTATTATCATGCACAAGGTTTATTTTTTTGATGAAAAAAAAAAAAAGATTTAGTCTAATGATCTTCAGATAAATTTCAGTAATTTTGTCGTTTTTGAGATCGTGATCACACTTGTTTAGCAAATATGCAAGGAGTCAGCATACTATGTAACAATCAAGACCAAAACGAGGACCAGCAGAATGTTGATGGATTGTAAACAAAAACAACTCTTGACCAAACAACCTGTCAAGGCCCAATTAATAATAGTTTTCAAGTTCAACAGTTGTTTACTGTCTGTTCAGTTCTGATACTTTAAAATGCGAGATATTCATTTGGTTTTAATTTTAGGAAATTTGTTGTCACGTATAAATTCACTGGGGTTGTAATTCAAGTTAAAGTTTGGGAAGGAAACAATACATTCATTAACCTTGTATATTAATTGAGTTTTAATTTAGCACATTTAGCTAAATTGCCAAAAATAAAGCCTTATGAATAATTAATACCTATACAGTAAAAATTGCACATACCAAATAGATCACAGATAGAAAAAATAATTTTAAATGGAATTTATTCTACCTGTAAAAAATAAAACATATTTTGATACATATAGTGTGGCATATATATTTTTGTTTCAGCTCAATTTGCAAATATAATAAATTTTAACCTACTATATAAAATAGAATGCTATTTGTGGTGACAAGCAACAAAGATTTTACGATAATGTAATAGTCAACTACTTGACTACGTTTATTTTCATACAGTATTTATTACTTCCTGCTTTTACAGTATTATATAATCATTCTCTAATAATTATTTTGTTTTAGTTTAACAAGAATATTATTATCATTGGTACAACCCAAAAGGAAATTTATTTTACAGTGATAATGAAATTTTCTATTCTACAAGGCTGTATGCAAGGGAAAATAAAATGTCTTCGGTCAATTTGGAGGAGCGGGCGCTGTGACCAAAAATATGTTGTTTTTTTGGTAAATAAATAAATAAAAGTTAACCACAGACATAAAATGTACAACATCGCAAACTAGTATTTCTCTGTTCGGGGGTTGTTACAAGTAATATTCTCATCACGTTGCGCTATGTTTATTAACCGTCAACGACAAGGTTTCTCTGCCTCCTCTATGAGGCTAGGGGATATTGTACAATGTCATTAAACGTTGTTTAAATCGTAAAACTAATTCGAGTAAAATAAATAAACAACAATAATTGTGGACAACTTGAAAGTGTTAAAGCTCTTGAAGATAACAACCAGCAAATCGCCGAGAACGAGACGGAACGAAATTACTGTTTTTATCAGGAAGCGCCGAGACTTGATTTCTTAGCCTAGAACTCAGAAATTCCGAACACGTACAATCGTAGTATGCGTTGAGTGGACATTTTGTACGGGATGAGAATACGAGTTAAAACAAGTAAAATAAATGAATCACGAAAATGTTAATTAAAGTAATATCTCAGTTGGCTCTGAGTCTAAAATCAGTTTTATTTCCGATAAAGAACTATGTTACAGGAAATAAACGTTGAGATGAAATGCAGAGAATAAGACGTGAGCAAGAGGTTCATGACCATGACAACTGACCTTAAAACCGCGTTATTACTCATCAGACAGACGATTAATAACGGTCTGGGGTGTTTACTGTGTCAACAAATGACCAATTGATGTGTTTTCTTTGCGCACTTAGGATTCACTATCAAGGAAATCATTGCCGTCGCTCACTGCGGTCCGATCATTTGGCATGAGCAGGTGAATGTGAAAGTCCTCTGTGATTGGTTAAATTACTCAAGCACAAAACCATGACATCATCTTTTCATCCGTAAAGGGCAATTTATTTCCATATTTGGCAAACATATTTACATAATTATCCAAATCCGGGCGTGTCTGTGAAGCTCTAAGGGATACGTTGTGTAAACAATAAACAAATCAGCATGTCGATATAAAAGAGCCGTGCGCGCGATGAGACATCTTCATAAATTCCTAAGCGAGAGGCTGTAGTGATGTGCTGTTTCTGATGAGAACAAGCAGCGGTTGTCAGACGTCCGCAGCTGGAATTTTGCAACCGGTTACGTAGCAGCCACATCTCATCGCCGATGTGAGGGACATCAGATTGTGGGTATCATTTCACTAGCTTTTCTGCTCCATCCTTCGGGTGATCTCATCTTTGACATTTCTTTCTGTGAAAGGGGATTTCATCACTTCTCTGTCTCAAGATGGGTACTGTACTTTCTCTGTCTCCCAAGCCACGAAAGTCTGCATTACACGAAGAATGTTCGGTGAGCATGACAAACTTAAATGCGCTGTACAACTCTAAGAACAATAATATCAACACCACCACTACGACCACTACTAAACCATCGATTGAAAAACCCATGAGAAAGCACTCTGCGATGTTCATCAGCGCTCTAAGCTGGAAAATGTTCAACGTTTCCAGCAAGAAGAACAAACCTAGCAACAACAACAACGTGCTGCGAAGTAAAAATACGAACACTGTCGAGCAGCACAACAACTATAACAACGTGTCCAGCAATGGGGTTATTTCCAGCATTAAGAAATCGTATTCCTGTTTCAACCTCAACTCGCACTGCGACAAACCGAAACACGGCCATCACATTTTGAAGAAATCACAGAACGGTGTTACGAAATCACCAATTCCCAAGAAATCGCTTCAAGCTTCGACCGGCGAACTCATAAAATGTCTAGGAAATTTCCTCAGCCGCCGATGTTCGTGTCTCAAAGACTTCGAATGTAACGATGCCATCATGTGGCTTCGTGCAGTCGACCGTTCCCTTTTATTGCAAGGCTGGCAAGACATTGCTTTTATCACGCCAGCAAATTTAGTCTTCGTATACATGCTCTGTCGGGACTTAGTCGACGATAAAATCGTCAGTGAGTCTGAGCTTCAAGCTGTCGTTTTAACGTGTTTGTATCTTTCCTATAGCTACATGGGGAACGAGATAAGCTATCCACTCAAGCCGTTTCTAGTCGAACAAGACAAGGATAAATTCTGGGATCGTTGTCTGAAGATCATCAATGACTGTAGTGCCAATATGCTCAAAATAAACAAAGAGGGCTCGTACTTCACGGAAATCTTTGCCGAGCTAAAATCGTATTCGTAATGTCAAAGAAACGTCGTAGTTTGACTGTCTCTAGTACACTCTTAATTCGTAGATTTTCTGCAGGAAGCCAAATCGCCACAAGTCGACGCCATTTTTAAAGCGCCCATTGGAAACCATTCGCGGAAGAAATATTTGTTTTACGTTCGAAATGGACTTGACCGCCGGTAGAATTGAATATAAATCATCACCGTCTTGTTAACTTTATCGAACTTTATATGGAACTGGAAATAGCTATTGCCGTCACAGCGCACAATGATTAACAGACGCGGTTTTTCACACCCAATATGGCGTAGAATATGTGGGCGATGCGTTTCCCGCTTCCAGATGTATCGTATTTCGTTTGACGATAATGTCACTCTGTTCCCGTTGATGACTCTTGTATTTCAAGTATTTACGTTGTACATTCTAAGCGACTGAATCACATGTACAGTGCTTCGGTTATTAATTTATTTTGAAAAAAAGAATTTTTGCATTTTGTATAAAATTTATATTTTTCTTACATGTTAATAGATTTTGTTGCGAAAAATTCAGTTATTTTTTTAACTGCAAAATGTGTCTCGCTTAATTTTAATAACAAGTTAATTTTATAAATATTCGCATTCCGTTCAATAATTTTATTTTTGTGTTGCAATTCTGTCATATTTTGTATTTTTTTGCCCTAGGTACATACTAGTAATCGAGGTTTTTCAGTGCGTCACTGTAAAATGCGTGGGAGGGGCCCCCATGTTAAACCTTGAAGACGCCTGTAGATATAGTGCCGGGATATAGTGTATATATTTGCCGCATTATTAAAGAAAACTACGTTCTCTAAAAATGTCCAACGGAACCATGTTTAATGTCAGGTCATGTATTTGTCATTTTGTACAAATTTTGAGCAACTAGTTTCTCCTTTATATAGCAGCTTAGTAAAATCCAAGGCGTCGAAATGCAAGAGGCGAATGATGGGTTTTTCATCTCGCCTGTAATATCACAATTTTTCCTGCCTGTGTCAAATCAGAAACGTCTTAAAATGTCAAAAACAAAACAAAGCAAAACAAAACAAAAAAAACAAAAAAAAAAATCGTCCAAGAGTATATCACAGTTTGTATTTTTTTTCCTGCCAGTAAATATCAGTGTGATAAGTCTAAAACAGCATTTATTTTATTTTTGTTCAGACGGAAATGTGCAATGTACAAATGTTAAAAATTATTTTAAGAATTTATAAAAGATTAACTTATAAAAAGGACATTTACTTGTAAAGTTATGATGCCGAATGTTGGAATTTATACGAGATCTGATAGATCACAAAAGCTTGACAGACACAGGTTCACTAGTAAATAATAGACCAAAATATCACAATTTTTGGCAGAAAACAATATAATTACACCTGGGTTGCCAGCTCTTTTGTGTACATGTATATTGAAGATCACGTTCGTCACAATTCTCATAGTTCATGTTGTATAATTTTCACTGCCTACTTATTTTTGTACCAAAGAATAAGACCATGGGTAAATGAATAAATTTTGCTGGCTGTGAAAAGCTAGCTTAAATATAAACTGTTTACTGATGTCTTAGATTTTTAATGAGTGATTTTTGTTGGTACCCTATTAAATACTTGCTAATCTATTGTTGGTTATATAGACAGAAATGTTACTTGATTAAAGTCAAATTCTCCCTGGATATTGACAAATTATTGATTGAATAATTCTATTGAATATTTTAATATGCCAATTGATACAAGATCATATAATATCCATTCTAGGCTTTTCAAAGAAAAAAAGGATTCTACTGAGGACTTGCGATGATGAAATCATCTTTTTTTTGGGGGGGTACATTGGGATTTTAATTCTTTTTGTAAATGTGCCAAATGACAATTTTTTCTTCCTTCCTTTTTCCACATCAAGCAATTTTATTTTTATCTTTGTTCATGACATTTTTTTTCAAAAAATCCTGCGACTCGCCCAAAGTTTTCAAATTGGGGGGGGGGGACTGCACATATTATTTAATACAAATTTACTTTAAAATTCTCTAAATCAGAGTGTGCCCTACAAGATGCATATCTTGTTAGCGTTGTCCACTTAACTATCCAAGTAAGATCTAATCTTTAGGTTCTTTCTCCTTTGCACGGAAGATCATTACTTGGCTAAGGGCCCATCTATACAACATTCCAAGTTTAATGAATACAGATTTGATACTTTCCACGAAATTGGAATTTTTTCAAAGACAGTATATGGAATAAGAGTGAATCAAAAACAAGTCATTAATATTTAACTTTAATTTCGCTGCTGGAATTTCTATGATTTGATTTTGGCAATGACAACATTTTATGAATGTCACTATGATATTTCGTCTCAAAAACTCGGTGCAATATGATGTTAATTCAAAATTTCTTCTGACTTGATATTGCAAATTTTTATCTCCTGTGAAATGTAATCTGTAATATTTAAGGACTTTTAGATTAACCTCTTCTCCACTGGTTTCCTCTTTTTCTCACAAATTCACAAAATAGTTCTGTTTATAGTCTGCACTTTCTTTTAGAAGATTGGAACAGAAATAGCCAAATTTTTTGAGTGTCTGTTGGCTCCAAAATTAGATTTCCAGAAACATTGAAGAATATAAGAAAAATGGTGCAGAATAATTTGAGTGAAAAAGTCCGGTAGTTGAAAAGATTAATAACTGCAAAGGGCTGTAATCTATATACCGGTACTACTCAATTAGTTGTGATTCGCTAAAATTCACTTGTGCAGTTACACAAAACCATAAAACTTGGATTCATAAAAATATATACTGTGGAATACTTTATTTTCGCTGGAATTAATTTTCGCTGAAAAGGCTTTTTTTGGGCGTTCTGTATGGAATTTATTTTCACTGATTTTTGATGAGTTGAATGTGAAATATAGGAAAAAAAGTATATTCGCTGGATTTTATTTTCACTGAATCATCCCTTCAGCGAAAATAGCGAAAATAAATTCCAAGCGAAAATAAAGTATTCTACAGTAATGAGAGAAGAAATAGCTGTATGGGTAAACTTGAGATGATCCCTATTTGACCACTCAAGTTAACAACAAAAGTGAACTAGTAGATTCCCATTTGTCTCGTTCATTTCTCAGTACATATACAAATTACCAACCTTCTTTCCCAACTTTTTAATACCATACTTTACCAAAATTCAATCACAATTAGAATATTTTGTCAACAAATACAAATGATATAAGTATATTTTGATATATTTACTGTGATCTTTTACATATTTTGAATATTTACATTTTAATGATGGCATGCTCTAGATATTTTATAAAGGAATGCTATTGAGGAGTGTCGCTATTTAATTTTAAATTTATTTGTATTATTTTTTTTCACATTTTTTTTATTATTTTACGGTCTGTGCAGTACTGACATTTGTCTAATTATATTAGACTTGTTTAATTCCACATACAAACAAATATTTGAAATAAATGACAATGACAAGAAGAGATTTTATTTCCTTGTTCTCTTCATGTCTCATTGACATCCTTAAATAGCCTTTTTTTCCCTGTGTGCCTTAAGTGACTTCAATCTGCATGAGGTTAATTTCTGAATTTGGAATTAAGTATTAACGTCATTCTCAAATCTGTTCTATCAGTGGTTGCTTAGCAACGAAGACAGGTAAATTGATGAGTGATTTATTTAGATTCCCTAGCATGTGAGAATTGTGAATTTTTTTTCACCTGGAAACAATCAGTCTCTAAATAGACACAATTTTCCAATTTAGATTATTTCAAGCATAGATTATTTTCAACTGAATTTGAGTCTTAATTATTAAGGAACGACTTATGATTTTTGTTTTCTGTAATTTAAAACAAAACTTCTCATTCCAATTGAATATTAAAATGAATAATATTGAGGACAGGCTTTACATCAAAAGTGAAGTGGAGTATAAGTGATTTAAATTTTTTATAGATTTTTAAATATTATATTATTGCAACTCAAAATATAGCAGCTTTTTTCACCAGCAAAATTTAAATGAAATGAAACATGTTAATAATGCTTTTTGCTGTCGTGCTGTAAGTAATTATATTTTAAAACCAGTGTGACTGATTTACCATGCATGCGGCTGAGGATAGAAACACATATTATTAGCATGTAGACACATGACATATAATTTTTTTTAAAACCGCTATCCCTGGAATTGTTTATGATGCAAAAACCATAGCAACATGAAAATAATAATGGCTTAATTTTAGCAGTATATTCAAAATTTATATGGTGTATATTCCTGTTCAAATGTTGTAGGTCGATGCACTGATATTTTCAGACATTCCAAAATATACCTTGATTATATTTTTATCAATAGACATACAATGGGTTAAAAAGAGATGAGCTATGTGCTGTGTTGACCATATTTTTTTTTTCCAAAGTGAACTTTATGTTGGCAAATGAATATGTAAAGTGATACTATATCAGGTGCATTGTCATGTACTTATGCTAATGTATATAGACAGAAATGAATTGTTTTTGTCCTAGGAAAATTTAACCTTCCATCTGTCTAGGTGCTGTTTATAGGTTCATAGCCCTGCTGTCTAGGTGTTGTTTACAGGTTCATAGCCCTGCTGTCTAGGTGTTGTTTACAGGTTCATATCTATCTGTCTAGGTGATGTTTATAGGTTCATAGCCCTGCTGTCTAGGTGTTGTTTATAGGTTCATAGCCCTGCTGTCTAGGTGTTGTTTACAGGTTCATAGCCCTGCTGTCTAGGTGTTGTTTACAGGTTCATAGCCCTGCTGTCTAGGTGTTGTTTACAGGTTCATATCTATCTGTCTAGGTGATGTTTATAGGTTCATAACAAACTATCTAGATGTACGTTGTCACAGGTTCATAACCTGATGTTTAGGTGCTCTCAACACAGCTTTTTTCCTCTTTAAATAGTGTACACAATTTCCATATTACTTTACAATTTTAATATACTAAATAGTTCCTGTATTCTCAGACAAATCGAACAAATAATATAAATCAAATCTGTCATAAATTTAATATTATATGACAACTGTGGATAGTGATAAAAATATGGAGTTTTGTATATTTGTACTTCAACTTGATAATCAGTGATAAATCAGTGAATATCCGATGAAAATACTTTTTGATGATCTTCATAATATTTCCGAGTTAGAAAAAAAAATCAAGGTAAATATAATATGAATTTTTTATAAAACATATTAAAATTAATAAAAAAAATATTTGCATCCTCTGATCCTTACTTAAAATGAATATTTTGACATAGGACAAATCAATTCCAGCTTACTTTAAATATTGATTTTTTTTAATAAGTCGATTATATCAGCCAGCTGCAAACTAAAGAAATTGATAAAGAGAAAATTGTTAAAGTTAGATAAAATATTGTAAGAGTTATGATTATCTGCCCAATCATGTCCTACTTATCAATTTTCTGAAAATTCCATCATGTTGTTGTAACAACCCTTCTGATTAGTCAAAAAGTAGTCATGAATATAATCACCTGTTTATTCCTGATTGGCTAACAAGTAGCCACATGCTGCATCTTCTTTGTCATTGTAACAACTCTCCTGCCTTAAAAAAAAAAAAATTAAAATAGTTTAATTTTGATCATTTCATAAGATCATTGTTTAGCGCATACATTTATGACAAAATAAGTAATATGCAAAAAATCTAGTCTCAAATCTGAGACCGTACAACTTAGCAATATTTCAATAAAAAGCTTATATGCCACAATATGTTTGGGATTAAATATTCTACATAATAATTATTGTGTAAACCATTATGGTATCATAAGATTAAAATGCCATTATTAGATTTAGATTGAACTATACCGGTATTGTTTTCAATATTTACGACTGACTTTAATTGGAGAAATAATAACAACATGTTTACCTGTGGGTGGTATTTTTTTATTTGTGAAGATGCTTCAGATCATGTTTTCAGATGAAAAAATAATTGGCATAAAAGTAAATATGCTTACTATCAGTGTTTGTTTTCAGAAAAATAACGCCCACGGCACAGATCTACAAAAGATACTCATCTTATAAACTAAAAACGTGAAGGGCACAAAGGCTTATTTTGACAAAAATGCTAATTTTTCGGTTTGTTTTTTTTGCTTTGATCTTCAGAAATTGTTGTAAATATTATTTCACTCTCAAACTACAAATCATGCACGTAACAATATTTTTGTTTTGTTTTGAATGACAAAAGATTGTAATGATGACTCTGATACAATACAGCAAACTGCTTCAAATGGAAAACACGGTGACTATTCAATATAAATCCCATACTACATATTGCAAACATATGACCATATTGTGTTCTTTTATTAAATAGTGGTAGTCTTCGTCCATGTATGAGCGAGATATATGGGTTTCGTATAAACAAAGATTGCGACTTTGACTGTTGCGCAGATCAACGAGTAAAAACTGAGACGTTACCATGCTTTAATGGGGTATTTTTAGGTGACTGGAAAGCATCGAATGAGTCACTAGCAGTAATTAGCGCAGGTCAAACCACATACTTTCCATTAGAAGAGTGCATTGGATTGTGGGAAAATTTTAGAAA